ATTGTGGTAAAAGATTGTGATGTGCACTTGGCCATACACATATCCAGCAAAACTGGGCACCAGCAGAAACAGTAATGAACTGTTTTGAGAGCTCTGTGGAGAGCCCTATCAAGGTTTTTCCCATGACTTGTTAACAGCCTCATAAATTGATGTCTTACAAAGATACATTTAGAAATATACTTTTGTAAACAGAAAAACCACCTGTGACTTGGCAGCTTTGAAGCCACTATTTTATTTGACTTTTAGATTCTAAGCACAAGCAAGCATATTCTAAGGTGTGTGCTACAGCCTCAAGCAGTTCTCAAACATCCCATTCCAGGATCAGCTTCCCAGACACCATCAGCCAGTTTCAGTGTTTAACAGCCCAGCATTTATTTTTAAACAGTTTTATGTCACTGCATGCATGCTGTGCAGGAAGGTTTTGTCAGTAATTAAAAAATAAATAAATAAAATAAAATGAATTATTAAAACTAGAACTTAGAATATTTCCATGGCAGTTCCCAAGACTGAGATTTTCCCTAACAGACACCCAAAGTAATAGCTGTAATAGCTTCATGGGGTCCATGGTGGCACCCCAGGAGGGCACACCTAAACCACTCCTGCCCTGGAGGAACACGCATTAACATAGACAAAGAACTCTGCAACACAAAGTTAAATCCAGATGAATGTTCCAAGTGGATCAGATGCCACTACACATATGGACAACTCTTACCAGGCTGGAAAATCACCTCTTCCTTGCTCAGATCGCAGCCCAACCACTCTATTCACAAAGCCAGCCCTACTCAGAAATGTCTTCTGAAGGTGACTGGGGAGGGGAACAGCTCACTCTCTGGCTTTGCTCCAACTTTGACCACTTCTTCCCAAATCAGAAGGACTTCAGGAGATAAGGCAGAAGGTATCAGAGCTGTAGCACCACACCTAGCAACACACATCAGTATTTCTAAAACGTGTTTCCCAGCATCACTTTATGGGGAAAGGTTAGTAGGTTTCATTCAGAATTAGGTTTTGGATCTCCTGGATGTTGTGAGAACTGTAAGCGAACCAAACAAGGAAAAAGCTTTCTTTGCCTCTCTACTCACATCTGTCAGCATTAGCTCTTCAACAGACACTTGCCTGACAGAAACAAAAACTGCTGCAGAAATCAATTTTTAAGACCACTGGGAAATAAATCTTCGTGCAACTTAGCATGAACAAAAAATATAAAGCCATCACGTTCTCTGTGAACAGAAGTGAAGATGGCTCTTTCGAAGGCCCCTAATGTATCTAAATGAATCAGTACATGGATCAGCTCCCCACCGTGTGGCCAACCCTCCTCATCCCTAAAGTGAAGTCTCAGGTTGGCTCCTTGTTGTGTGTTCAAGATGAGCCTTATCGAAAGTCAGGAAGGTTCGGATTTGTGAATTGAATCTCAACAAATGAAACACTGCGTCTGATTTTATCTTTTCTTACAAATGCTTTAGGTGCCCTTGCATTTACCTGAAATATCATTAATGATTTGATAAAGCCCTAACGACAGAATAAGATAAAACATCCCCATTAGTGACTTTATCTTAAACAATTCTTTCTTCAAAGCAGTGTATTAGTTAAGTCTTAGCATTTCTTCCTATGACTTCCCAACAAAAAGAGTGAAGTGTTTTGGGAAAGATTGTGATTGCATTTTTAATTGCAATCTGCCGTATACCTTTATAAAGCACAAAAATAGCTAGAAAGCAGAAGCATCGGTTTACAATATCACAGCCATCAGGGTATGCTCAATTCCTTGGTTCAGAGCCAGCAACTGCCATTAATCTCTTAATATGTAGAAACTCATTAATTTGTATTAAACTTGAAAGGTACATGGCAGGATTTTTTACTTCATCAAGTAGATTAATTAAAGAGCAAATACTGTATAACTGGTGTTCAGAAGCTAGTTTCTGTTGTCTTGTTTTTTTGAAGAAGATACTCCCATTTTCCTCCGGTTGTCTCAGAATGATGCGACTGCCCAGTGCCATTATGCAGATCACCAGTTAAGCATTCACAATAGGAAAACTTCACTAATATAAACTCATCCCATTTTAAGGTTTCAAACAGTGCAAGATGACAAATATTAGTCACTGTAGTACTTCAAAATATTTTGAAATTACTTTCCTGCATGGATTGTGTAGGGGGATAATAAGCTAATTTATTACACTGTTAATGTTTGGAAATTGATGTACTGTTAGCAAAAATGAAAAATCACATATTAAAAAAAAGAAACAAAATTCCATTACACTTAGCAGTCAAGAGCTAGGATGAGAAAGTGACTGTTTTTAAAGGGAAAGCAAATAGTTTCCTTCATGACAGTTAAATTCACTTCCCACTGGCATTTAAAGAACAAGCACTTCATGTGCAAGTGGAGTAACTCCTTCCCATTGTTTTCCTTGCCTCAAGAGTACTTGTCTTTAGAAACTCATGACCAACTACTTCATAAATACAGTTGCTCCCCAGGCAGGCTGAAGTAACTGTTACTCTTACAAAGACCTTTAGGACAAGCACAGTCTATCTAAGAAGCACCAGCACAAGTAGATACATGTAAAACCCCATTAATAGTATCAGTTGTAATTTAGACAGGGCAGTCTAGATAGGATGTTTTACTAATAAATATGCATCACTAGCATCTTTAAAAAATAATACACCTTGCAATAAAAGCTATCATCACTTCAGCTATCATCAGGAATATAAAAATCAAAGAAAGCCTGGAAAAAAGCAGTATTGGAAAACAGTCATCAAGAGCTTTAATCACACATAGCTTTTCTGGGAACAACTCAGAAGCTTTCTGCATGCATGCAAAAATGAAGATCTTTGACAGGACATGGTACTTTCCCCAACAGGACATACACGATTTGCTACTTTGTAATAGCTAATCTGAACTAAACAAAACAACTCTACAGAAGATAGGGCCGCTGCAGTGGAATCACAAAACCAGACCTGACGCAATTCTTGAAACCTAACAGGTTTTAGATTTCTGCCAGTATGCTGAAAACTGCAACTTGCACAATATTTTAATGTTTACAGTGTCACTAAGAAGACTATAAATATTGAGTTATCAGCATGACCTGACTTACCCTGTTCCCTTCTTGATTATTCCATTTAGAAGAGAGGATGTTCAGCCAATACAGTCAGCAAGTTTTTACGCATACAAATAGCTGTACTATCACATTTTGTGTCTAAAAAAGTCAGAGGCTGATGCCTCTTTTGTGAGCTACATTCAGATTCACAGGCATATGCTCTAGAAAGTTATTTCCTTTTAATTTCCCATGTGTTCATAAATATCTTGTTTTCCCAGCAGCTTTTATTAACCTTGGCCTTTGTAAACAAACACCTTCCTCTGCCACCCGTTTTTTTGCAGCACTTCAAGTCCTAGCAGGCTTCGTACTTGTCTTGCCCTGCACTGGAGATTCTCACCGTCTTGTTTTAATCAATGAAGAAAACCAGTAGCACCTTAAGTACTTCTAAGCTTCCAATAATGTCAGCTTCCAGGATTAAAATGTGTCAGGGAAACAGGTCTCTGTCCACGCCCAGTACTGGGGCAACAGGAATGAAAAGCAGCTACTACATAATGAGCTTATCCAGTCACTTCTCCGGCAGAATTTTCATTTTGCTTCCTATTTTGATTTTTCCCATTTTCCTCTAAATATAAGCCTTTAGCAGATGCCCAGTTTACCTGCATACTCCCTTCCTTCCACACAAAGCAGTGTGGATGCCCTCCATAACAGGCTCAGCAAGTCAACCTAATAGCTAAATTCTAACCAGTATTTTTGCTCCATGGCTGTTAAATAGCCACTGGGCTGATTCAGGTTGAAAGAATTCATCTATAAACTCACAACTGAACAATAGTTAAAGTTTGGACCATTCTACATACCTCACTTTGGATTTATTTCCAGAAGTGTTTATTAAATGCAAGCTTAAGATTTATCTACAATAAGGAGATTCTGCTTCTGTAACTTACAGACCAAGTGTTCCTTTGTGTGCATGGCTATTGTTCACTGCAAAAAAACCCAACAAAAACACCACACACCACAAGAACACACACACATCTAAACATATGGATCCATAAACTCTGAACTGGTTCTTGTTAAGCTGCAGAACTAGCCTCCATCCCTTCCAGCCAAAATGCAAGAGGAGGCACACAAAAAAAAAAAGGTTAAGTTTTCACCCCCAGCTGTTCAGTATTACCAATCCACCATCCCCTACCAAAACTACTGGTACACAAAACACAACAGTACATAACAGCTAGTAATCACATTTCAGCTGCAGGTACCTGCAGAGAAGAAAGGTTCTCGCAGAGGATGAGGCACAGAGCACAGTTAAAGTCATGACAGTTCAGTCAGCTTACTGAGTATTCAGGGATTAACAAAGAAGCCCAACTTCTTTCCATAGGAACAGTATTCCTTCCCTCACCTCCCCTGCCACTTCTTTTCCCAACTGAAGTGTCCTGAATATATCAGAAAACAAGCTGTCTCTCTGAACAGCCCAGGTGCTTGAGGTGTTCTGGCTCTATCCTTTAATGCTCAAAAGGAGACACCTGCTCCAACTGCAGCAGTGTGGTACCTGGAGGCACCATAAGAAAACACTGATGGTATTAAAGCTAAGTGATGATGGGATGCTGTACGGAGAACATGGAGACTGAAAAATCTTTGTTAGGAGGTACAGAGAACCAGAGATGGTGTCACCTCTGGGTCACAGGACTAAGCCAAAATTCACTTACAGGCACATTCTGGGGAGCAAGTAGTATCAAAGAATGAGAGTCAGATTTTCAGTCACTTTTTTGTGGTCAAGACATTTTTCCACTTCCCATTTTAAATACGTTGTCACAAATGCCACACTCCACTTTGTAACAGCTGTTTGCCATTCCCAGATAAGGCTGCATTTTAGTAACTGATGAAAAGGGGCAAGTATATAGGCATCAGTTAATAACACGATTTAGGATGCCTGTTTGATAGAAATCTCAAATGAAGAAAACAGACCAAAAAGCCAAGTCATCTGTACATACTGAAATTTAAGTGTTTATTTAAAAAGTAAACTTTTGGGCATATTGCAATTAAAAAAAAAAAAAAAAGAAGAATCTATTAGATTAAGCAGTCAAAAGGCAGCAATATTACAAGCTGTTTACATACCAACATTTACATTAATTTAAAACAAGTGGCATGTCACCAACATGTAAAACATACTTCAAAAGTTTAAAAAAATCAAGTTGACTTTTGAAGGATACAAGTCTACCACATGTGTTGAACATGGGTTTGGTCATTTAGTTTAAATCCCCTCTTTCACTGAAATGTTCAGTCTTCAAATTATACAAGTGGATAGCTAGCAGCTGTTGCTATTCCACAGTGGTTCTTCCTGTCCTTGGCCATGTAGATATATCCTTTATCACCCCACTTCTCACCCCAGCTGAAAATAGAAGTAGAAGATTTGTTTTCATACTCACAAGAGACTTACTTACCCCGCCTCCCCCCCAAAGTGTTTAAATGGAAAAGTGCTGCCCTCCACATTTGAAGAAAAAAATCAAGACAACTGCAGCCAAACTAAAGTGCTTTCCAGCAATTAAACATACATCACAGAAGAGGGACCCCCAAGCTCACAGAAATAAAGGCTGCAGCCATACTATCACTAGGTAGTGCACACCTTGGTGTGCAGTCCTGAAGTACAAGTGCCTGAGGCTCAGACACCACTCCCAGCCAACTTTGAGGGAAGACTGAGACTGTAAGTAGCATTTGAGGGAGGTGCCCCAGTAACGCTGAGAACATGAGATAAAACTCATGTGATGTGCCCTTCAGCATTATTTTACTGTCTTGCCTCCAACTTAGGGGCTAACTCCATCTTTGAAGTACAAGTGTTACCATATTTCACACAAAGTGAGCAGTGCTCTGTTTCAAAAAATAATCCATTACACCTCCACAACCTGGTGTCCTCCTGCACCACCCCTTTAGTATTTACTTCATGGGATGTCACAGTACTGAGCTCAACTGAAAACACAGAATGAGGCTGCTGCTTTGGGCCTACCTTAGTAGGATGCCAGCAACACGAGTCAAAAAGTTTTTACTTTTGTCATACAACACAGTCTGAGAGCAGTCTCCACATTTTCCACACACATTTTAGTACTGTTGTCTCACCATTTCCCACAAGTGAACAAACTACCTTTCCTTCTCACCTAGGCCCAAAGGGTATACAAAGCAGAGAGAAATCTTACCTGTTCTTAACAATCCAGTATTTCTTCCCATCTACATCTTCCCCTTCAAAGCCATAACCTACAACCAGAACACCATGGTCCAGATCTTCACTGCTGCAGTCTGGTTCATAGTAGATACCTGTGGAGGCACAAGCTCACATGTGAACAAGGTCATGTTCAGGAAACCCCTCCCCTCACCAGAAGCTTTGTGCATTTCAAATTAAACGTTGCACAGCCTCCTGAGAGGCAGTGAAAGGAGCCCTAAGTAAAGCATATCACACCAGCAACTGAGGGACAAGTACACACATATCCAAGAGAAGTACAAAAGGTGGAGAACCTGAACTAGAATTAAAAGGACTCCCAGTTATGTCCTATATGCCACAGGACATAGGACACATAATTGGGAGTTAGAGGTGGGGTTTTTTTTCCACTTGTTACAACTGAAGGGTAACAAATAACTTTCTTTTTGAATACTTGGTGTCTTCATTCAAGTTGCTAACAAATCCCTACCTGACTGATAGAACTGGAATGAAGAGTGGCCTGCATCAATAGCAACAGACACCGGACCCACAGACGCTACTGCTTTCATGAGAGCTCGTTCACGTCCTTGAGGGATGTCAATAAAGCCAGTGTCATTAGCAGCACTGTATTCCGCCCTGTAGCGACAGTCTTCATCATCCTAAATAAAGAAAGCCCTAGTTATTACATTTTCCACTTCACACAGGTGAGCAAGGAACTACCAGACATTCTGTGACTTTTCTGCCTTGAAAACAAGGGAGTGAAGAGGATCCAATTGCTTGAGCAGTGCTGTGAGAGAAGAGCAAAGGGAGAGGGAATTTCTCAAAGGTACTGAACAACCAAAGGGCAGTGGGGGTCAAAAAGAAAGATTTACCGGGATGCAAATGACCATCACATCCTAGAATCCTGCCTTCTCTAGTGGGCAGGACAAATCTCTTTTTCAGGGAGGAAAGAAGCCCAGAATGCATTAACAGGCAATGGAAGACAGCCAAATATTCATTAATTACAAAGCAATCCACAAGCTGCTCATAGAGCAAGCACTTAAAATCCACAATTTCACTCTGTCATAGTTTGAAAAACTGTACAGCATGATTTGGAAGTTAGTCATTTCCATCACGTGGCCTAACATTTAGTATTCACTTATTTTGTGCTGCCTCTTTGCAGTATCTTTCCTTACACTGAAGCCCCAAACTGTTTGTGCCACAGGCATTTACCTCAGGAGAGAGGCCTAGTCTGCAAGTCGGGCCACGTGAAACTGAAATGGATTGAAATAAGCACATCCATCCCTTACCTGCATGATAAGATTAGTACTTAAGTTGCCTTTCCCCAACTAAAGGAACACAGAGTACACCTCAGTGGCTTACTTTTTGTACTCAGCAAGTTAGGCACATCCTATAACCAACTGGGGTCTCTGGAAAAGCCAAGATTAGGAAAAAAAAAAAAAAAATCGACATTACAGGGATGCCTGTGAACAGGAAACCAAATCCAAAGGCTTTTATTTTGCTCACAAGAAATAGCATTGCTATTTCACATTCAGTCAAGGCCAAGTAAGCTCCAAGGAAAGATACTCTATAACGAGCAGAACTCAAAAGCTCTCAAGTGATAGCAATTTACTACTGCTCTTTCACCCTCTCATGTCTTAGTACATCATTAGAGGTATTTTACAAATTTGGCCATCATCTGCATTTATGCATATTTTGTCCACAAGTAAAGCTTGAGGCATGCGCAAAAACTATTGTTAAGAAACGAATCACACTAACTGCAAGAATTAGCTGGTCTACAGGTAGGAACTCTGTAATAGCTCAGTTATAGGAAGCTAACTTGCACCTCTGCCTAAGCTGCACTGTTGTCAAGGGCTGGGTCCTGGTTTGGTGTGTCAGCCAAGATAAGGCATGACATTCAATAGGAAGGCAGCAATGAGGGGGAGGAATAAAAATATTTGCTCTAGTTTTTGCAGCTGGTCTGGTAAGATCATGACCTCAAAGATCAGTTAAGTATGTGATTCCTACTGGGTCTAGCAGTCATTCTAGTTTTCCTAGGAAAGATGCAACAGGAAGAACAGATGTACTTATTACTACTTAAACATTTTCCTTTCTAGGTATGAGCTTCCCAACATAGTTCATCCACACAAAAGATGTGACACTTGCAACACAAATTCAGCTATTACAGTTACCTTTGCAGTGTATGGGTATGATTCCTCTGAATCAATTCCCCCATTATCTTGCACATACTGGAAAGCCTGGTCCATGAGACCGCCATTGCAGCCTTGATTCCCTTCCGGGCGAGAGCAGTCCACCAGGTTCTGTTCACTCAGCGAAACAAGTTTGCCAGTTTTTCTGAAGTGCTGCCCTTCAAGAGCTCCCGTTGTGCTGAAAGCCCAGCAAGAACCACACTGACCCTGAAGCAAGAAATGAGATCACAAGTTACAAATCCGGACAGATTAGGCAATTATTGTTCCCTTACCACTGATCTAAGCATAAAAAAACACAGGAGTCACATCACCAACTTTAGTTTCACACTCCTAGCACATACAAGTGAAGATACTATGGCATTTTCAGGTTTTAGACATTTCTGCTGAACTCCTAAAAAATCCCAAGGGGTACAGCAGTTTTATCAAAACAGCACTTCAGTTTTGTAAGCTTGCACTAGGCCGCATCAAAAGAGTCCAGTGTTTTTCCTCCATGGAAGCAAAGGCAGCATTCAGGAAACTAGACCCACATAACTGGTTAAAAATCCACCACAAGAGAATACCTGGTCTTTAACTGGAGTAACATATCCCTTCTCCCTCCAGTCTACTGATCTCGGTGCTTCCAGAAAGCTGGGCTCAAGAAACTGGGATCCTCTGTATTTCCTTTCTGACTTCTTGTGTGCATAGCCATTCATCAGCTGTTTGAACTCCTCAGTTGTCTGAAGAGAATTCAAAACATGAAGTCACCGTCTTTTTACCCACTGCAGCTCAGAACTATACTTTCACGCCTCTGTACCTACCATGTCACCGAACTGATTCATTCCCAACTTGTAGCTGTGTTTTCCTAACGTGTGATCCAGATTATGGAGCTCAATCATTTTCAGGTTCTTCTCCCACACCACTCTCCGCCAGCTTTCCTCTCTCTGAGGGGCCAGAAAACAACACACTTCAAGGGGGCAGCTCGAACGGAGTCCCCTTGCACAGGGACGTGCTTTGTTACGGCTCGTCTATTTGGGCAAGCTCAGACAACTCGAACGGGAAGCCTGGATGCCTTTTCAGAGATTTATTTCGGGCACCTTCGTAACAGAAACACCGAGCACGGTACAACC